CGCAAATCACTGTGCTCTCATTATGGTTCATTTATGTTGTAGTCAAGTATTATTTCAGTCCTATCACTCACACACACACACAGACACCCACCCATAATGGTGATACACTTTCATTAAACACACACACATACATTCGTAGAAAGCCGTTAATGTGTTATGTCTAAATGTAATTGTATATTTCTGTTAGCAAGCATACAAGAAGACTTATGCATATACGTGTGTGTGTGCGTATCAACAATTTGACAGTTGTAACATGTGTGTTATACAAGGAAATGTCAGGATCTGAGTAGAACTGATACCGGTTTCCTTCCAGCTAACAACTCGGCTGTATATTCTGACTGCCTAACGTTTACTTAGGGAAACTTATTTTCTCGCCACTCATTTATGCAAAGCGATGCAAATGTGTGTGAGTGTGAGTGTGTGCCTGTGCCTGTGCACCCGTGTGTACATTTGTGTGGGCGTGTAAACATGTGAACGGAAATAGACGACGGTGAGATAGTGTATTAATATCTCATCACTTAGTGTTTATCTGCTCAATATTTGACAATGGCAATATGTGAAGCCTGTCGTATAAGCACACATACACAGGATGATAGATATGTCGTTGTGTGCGATTGTGTGCATAGCTTCTGTTGAGAAAGGCAACTTTTCAAATTTGCCTTAATACACAACTGTGCCCTGGCACATATGCATATTGTAAACACTAACACTGTCATTATTCAAGGAAGTTGCCTTGCATTGGCTGCTGACTTCTTCTTTGCATGTGAGAGTGAGGGAGTATGTGTGTGTGCGTTGCATACACATAGAGTCTGTGATTAAATTTAGATGCCTTTATATTTATAAGGCAGTCGAATGAAATTGCTTTCGATGACTTATAAACAATTAATAGTTTTCACACACACACACACCCATGTAGAATATGGATCGGAGTCATGCAGTTTAAATATTGGTATCGAGTACATCAACGCTACACTGATGATGTCGAGAAATGTATATGACTCAAAGGGAAAATTAAATATCTTTTAGATATTGATAGCGTCTCAGAAGAGATTGTCAAATATTTTGTCACAGATATGAAAGTGATGTAAGGATAAATATTGGGATCTAATAATTGGGTCGTCTATACTAAAGGAGTAAAAGGAGTTAATTGTAAGTTTTGTACTTTAAATAAATTTTAAACAATATATATTTTTTTAAAAATATTCTTGGAAAAAAAAATTTGTAACGCCGCCTGTATTAGTTCTTCAAAAAATATTTTTAATAAATCCACGCCTTTAATAGCCTTCAAAAAATATTTTTTTATATAGTTTGATATCAATGTTTAAATTTTATATTCAATAGCTCTTAAAGCTATTTAAACCATATTTTTATTCCTTTTCATTATTTCTCCCATTTTTCGCTGATCTCATACCATTCGTTTTTTTTTCTTTGGTTCTGCAATTTATTAATGAAGGCATTTATGTGTTGTAATCAGATGAATTGACCTTTTTTCTACATGATTTCTTTCATTTCCCTTGTTTTTCTTCTCTCCTTCAACATTTTCTTCTTCATCGATCTGCGTTGGTGTCAAAAGGAAATGTTGCGTTTAGAATGAATTGCAGGATTTTAAGTTGTTTGAAAAAAAAAAAAATGGGTCGAAAAATAGTAGAAACCAAAGAGAAAGAAAAACCATCTTCGAGGAATAACTGAAACGGAAACAATGAAAATACTGTTGTACAAATTGATTTTTTATCTTTATGCTGGGCACTGAATTAATGAGGAAACAAAACTCACAAGGGGTGGGGGCAACACAAAAGGCCAACAAGAAGCGGTTGGAAACTTTATGAATAAATTGCTTAATTCAAAATTTAATTAAAATGACAATGCAGGAAAATGGAAAGAAAATGTCATATTTCATTATATTCGGAATCAATGAATAAAGTTGAAATTTCCGCAAGAAATTTTCTAATTGGATGTGGTCATCAAACACAAAAAAATAATAATTTTCGTGAGACCACATAAAATAAAGTATTGATCCTTAGAACTATTAAAGGTTTATTTTGAAGTACTAATATAGACTTGGATGCATTAATTTATCAAATGTATTTTTTTAAAGGATTAATACAATAATATTAAACAGTGTGTGGAGCAGTATAGTCGGGCGGGGCCGACCATATGATACCCTACACAACTTCGACGAAAATTTAACTTTCTATGGTTCTATATTCAGAGCTTGGGCAAATATTTCCCGATATTTGCACCCTCTAGACCAACTAGATGCCAACAAATATTTCTAATATTCAGTAGACGAGGGCTGTACTTGTCCAGATTCTCTTTACCGTGGGTTATGTTGTGATATTAAGCTTTCAATTGTGGCCTGTAGATCGACTTGAAAAAAAAAAACACAAAAAATTAAGTTTTGGGTCCACTTCATTTCAATATTATTATCTGATCATCATCGAAAATTATAGACATTGTCCTTGACCATAACTAGAACCTCATGGAACTTTTCAAAGCGATCAGCGCTATATTTCCGCCCTCTAGTGGGGTAACGGGTTACTAAATAATATCTGAATATGTAAGCAACCGTAAATATTTAAGTGTAACTCCCTCATCCGAGTACATACGACAATATAATTGGCATCAATTTAAAGGTAAACAACTCCTGGATATACTATCAACTCGGCTCTATGTCCTTCAGCGGCAAATATATACGCCCCATAATACAAATTTTGCCATTTTTCACACAAAAGTATGGGTCCATTTGACCCGCAAAATATTGACCGATCTTTATCAAAACATCCATGCTTACTCCTTGGCCCGATTCCCTTCTCCATGTAAAAATTCGCGATGTTTGGGTCGTAATTGCGGCCTCTGGAGCGACCAGAAAATCAGAAAAAATTAAGTATTTGTTCCAAAACAATAGGGGACTTCATTGGCCAGAACCCATCCTACATGCAAAATTTCGTGAAGGTTGGTCCATAACTGTGTCCTGTATCGTGTTTACAAATTATAATGGACAGACGGACGGACGGACACACATGTCTAGAACGACTCAGCTAGTTGAGATATGCGGATCGGTATACTTAAAGATGGGTCTAGGACCAATATTTCGCGGCGTTACAAACTTTTGGGGCTGCACAAAGCTATAATATCCTGACGACATTGTTGTGTAGGGTATAAAAATATTTTTTAAGAACTAATAGGGGGAATATTAAATATGTTTTTTCAAATACTAATATAGGCGTAGATATTTTTTCAAAGTTTGGTATAGGCGGGGATTTATTAAAAATATTTTAAAGACTAATATAAGCAGGGATTTATTATACCCTACACAACTATGTTGTCAGGGTATTATAGCTTTGTGCAGCCCCAAAAGTTTGTAACGCCGCGAAATATTGGTCCTAGACCCATATCTCGACTAGCTGAGTCGACCTGTGTCCGTCCGTCTGTCCATTATATTTTGTAAACACGATACAGGCCACAGTTATTAACCAATCTTCACGAAATTTTGCATGTAGGATGGGTTCTGGCTAATGAAGACCCCTATTGTTTTTGGAAAAGATCGGTTAATATGCCTATTTTGATAAAGATTGGTCAATATTTAGCGGGTCAAATGGACCCAGACTTTTGTGTGGAAAATGACAATATTTGTATTCTATGGCGTATATATTTACTCCTGAAGGACATTGACCCGAGAAGTGGATAGTATATCCAAGAGGAGTGGTTTACCTTTACATTGATACCAATTGCATTGTCGTGTGTACTCGGATGTGGGAGTTACATTTAAATATTTACAGGTCCTTACGTATTCATATATTATTTAGTAACGCATTACCACACTAGAGGGCGGAAATATATCGCGGATCGCTTTGAAATTTTCCATAAGGATCCAGGTATGGTTATGGACAACGCCTATAATTTTCGGTGATGATCAGATAATTATATTTGGATGAAGTGACCCGAAAACTTATTTTTTTTATGAGTCGATTTATAGGCCACTATTGAAAGCCGGACATCACAACACAACCCATGGTGAAGGTGATCTGGACAAGTAATTATAAGAGCTGGACTGAATATTAGTAATATTTGTAGGCGTCTAGTCGGTCAATGGGTTACAAATATCGCTAAATATTGCCCAAGCTCAGAATATCGAACCATAGAAAATTAGATTTCGTGGAAGTTGTGTAGGGTATCATATGGTCGGCCCCGTCCGACTATACTGCTCCGCTCACTGGTTAAAAATATTTTTTTGCGATACTATCAGAAGAGTAGATTTCTGAAAAATATTTTTTCCTGGACTATCGTTGGCGTAGATTTATTACAAATATTTTTTGGAGGACTGTTGGTCCTTGAAAAAATCTTCTTTAAATTTTTAAAAATCCAAGCCTCTTATAGTCCTTTGAAAAACTCTTTTTTGAAAATCCAAGCCTCTTATAGTCCTTTGAAAAAATCGTCTTTAAAAATCCAAGCCTCTTATAGTCCTTTGAAAAAAATCGTCTTTAAAAATCCAAGCCTCTTATAGTCCTTTGAAAAAAATCTTCTTTAAAAATCCACGCCTCTTATGGTCATTGAAAAAATATTCTTAAAAAAATCCACGCCTCTTTAAAAATGACAATTGTGAGAATTACATGGGTGTTCTTTTAATTAAAGCTACCCTTCGTTCCCAGGAATTCTCATTGAATTCTAGCCATTATCGTTTCCTTTTATTCATTACAGAATAGAATAGAAAACATTCGTTAAACCAATATTTACATTGTAACCTAATTTCTAGCTTCTGCTGGTGCTACTGCTTCGATGTTGTTCAACTCCTTTTTATTGTTGTTGCCAGTTTACATCATCCAGTTTTTCTTTGTTAAATTTATTCCGCATTTTGTAATTGTATTACTGAAGGTTTTGCCACACAAGCCACATATGCATATTGGCTATTCCATAGCACTCACACACACACACATGTACATTCAGACATATATTGAACAAACTGGTCACACATCGGACCAACTGACCCTAATGATACTTACGTGCATTCGTATTCGTTCCACAAATCAACACAATCAAATGGATCCGGACAGATAATGTTCGAACAAGGACGATTCGAGGGGCAGTTACGTTCTAAATTTCGCGCCATTGTTGCCTGTCCCCATTGGGTGCCATTCATGGAGGGTGGTAAGGGTAAATGTTTGCCATCGAGTCTGTAAGAAAGAACGAAAACAAAAAATTGGTAAAAATTCAAAATTGCAGGTGAAACATAGGGGAAAAAACATTAAAAAAAGAACACCATATGCATATAAAGATACACACATAAAGTTAGCTTTGTATGTATATGTAGAATTGTGTAATTTGATATTGCAATGACTTTCAGTGGAAAAAAAACAAAAGCATAAAAAATTGTGTTGCACATTGGCCCAATTGTCAACCGCTAGACACATATTGACGAACTGACGTTGGCAAACCGTTGAAGGTGTGGTAAAAAGTGAATTAAAAAATTGCAATTAAAATCCTTTTAATATACGATATGTATCCGAGTATATCAAATATACATGGCACAATTGAACGACATGTACATTTTGCTGCAGTTGTGGTTAACACACTGACATACATACGAGTACACTTGTGCATGGTTTAAGGTAAAAGTGAAATGAGCTAAAATTGTCAAGGTTTCATGGTTGAATATAATATTGTGATATTATATGTACTTTGAGCTAGTAAATATATTGAATGCAGTAATTGTACATATTATATCTGATTGATGTTCGGATTTGAAGTTATTCATACGAGAGAAATATATATATATATATATAGAAACTATTTCTATATATATAATCAATTCATACACATGTCATTCTGATATCTATATAAAACTTCACTATATCCAAACCTGAACCGATTACGATAAAACTTAACAAAAATCATTTAAGACTCAATACAGTATTCCAAATAACATCTAAATCGGACAGACCATGGGAGTTTAGGGCACCACTTATATAAAATCGGACGAAAATATATTTACATGATACCTATACCTAAATCTGAACCGATATCAACGAAATTAGGCACATATCATTCTAGACTCAATTTAATATGCTACATACAATCGAACGAAATATATTGTGTTTAAAATCAGATGAAAATCTATATGGGAGCTATGTACATGTCTGAACCGATATCACCAAATTTAACACAAGCAATTTACTAGAGTATATATGATATGCAAAATTTCTTTGGTGTACTACTTACATAAAATTGGACGAAAATATATATGGGAGCTATATCTAAATATGAACTGATATCGACAAAATTTTACACACAGCATTCGTGTATCAATTTGGTATCGTGTATAAATTTGTGTCTCAATCTGACACACAATGGCTCTGTGGTGCACTAGTGTAAAATTCGGACGAACCGATTTTCAACATTTTCAATAGGAATTCAAACTTCATCGGATCGTATATAGGAATCATAGGTATAACATGCAATTGTTTTAAAATTAGACATTCGTATTCTAGGTTCATCCACAAATATGGGTCTATTTCCAATTCAGCCAAAGATGGAACTTTGAGGACCGATTTTTAATGGTTATCTTATATCCTCCACCTTAAGGTGAATTGAAATTTTAATTTGCTATTCCGATTGCAACATTTCGAGATATGTGCCGAAACACCCTATATTTTGGACACGTCTTCTAACCATATTTGTACTTTGGACACTAAACCTTTTTATGGTATCCCAAATATAACTGTACCTTACAAATTTCGGTATTTTGGGGTATGTTTGAAATTTTATATTTGCTATTCCGATTGCAACGGGAAAATATCAATATGTGCGATATTGATACACCCTATATTTTGGACAATATTGGGCATTTTCAATTGAATTAGCTGACATTTTATATTTTTGCTTTTCTTTCGATTTAAAATATGGGCGAAGTCTTGGTAAAGCATTCCGCCATTGTCGTCATTTCTAATGATGAAACCTTGTTTTGCCAAAAAATTTAGTATCCCAAATATAACTGTACCTTACAAATTTTGAAAGTTTTAGCAAAATGTCCTCACCGAAATGACCGGAATGTGTAAAGGTATGAAAAGTTCTGCTTCGTCGAACTCAAGAACATTTTTAATTGTTCATAAATATTAGTGGGGTGTAATGTGTACAGTACCCAATTGTAGAATCGTTTTGTAATCGCTTTGTTTGTACGTTTAACATTTTTTTAATACCATCCACTATAGTATGAAGGGTATATTTATTCTTTCCGCGCATATATTCTTGATCAGGATAAAATATTAAGACCATCTAGCCATGTACTTTGTCCTGTGTGTCTGTTGTAATTTTCTGAAGGAATTGAAATAGGGTGGTGCCATTTGGCATAGGATTGTGTTTTGTCTGCAGGCAGGTCATGTTCGAAGATGGACTATATACGTCCATGCTTAGGCATGACCCCATATATGTCTTTGTACATATTTTTGTAACAGGCAATATTAAACGAGATAGACAAAAGGTTTCTTTTGAGAATATGTATAGAATCGGACATGCCCGTCCGTCTGTTGGTGATAACTTGTAAATAAAGGTCGCATTGAATTGGATGAAATTTGGTACAACTAATTTATTTAGCCCAAGGACGAACCCAATTGAAATTGGCGAATACCGGTTCAGATTTAGGTATTGCTAGCATTATACGTCCGTCCGATTGTATGTAAATGCTGCACCAAAGTCCCTATATATCCTTCGATTTGCACGAAAAATTTTACCTATGTGTATACATTTCGATTAGCACGAAATTTGGCATAGCGTACGGAATGAAGTCTAAAATGATGTGTGTTAAGTTTCGGTAAAATTGGTTCAGACTTAGATGTAGCTCCCATATATATTTTCTATTCTTATGTAAACTGTACACTAAAGACCTAAAGTTTTTCCGATTGGCACACAATTTTGTACAATATACTAAAGCTTATATAAATTAATCTCGGGAAAGTTTCATTGAAATAGGTTCAGATTTAGATATAGCTCCCACATATATGTTTTCGTTCGATTTCAGGTAAATGGTGCACCAAACTCTTAATGGTTGTCCGATTAACACGAAATTTTGCACAATGTAGCGAATTGAGACAAGAATGGCGTTATGGCGTTTTTTTTTTAATTGGTGCAGATGCAGACATAGCTTCCATGTGTATTTCGAACGGGTGTCTGATTGTGATTAAGTGTTTAACAGTGCGGAGTGCCGTATAGCGTGTATCAATTTTGCTTGTTCCTTTGAGGGAACATTGACATACAAGTGTGAGGATACATGTGTACAATGTACCCAAGTGGTGAAGGGTATCATATAGTCGGTACAGTCTGACTTTACTACTTTCTTTGTTGGTTTTTACTTTATATTAAAAAAGTAATAAAAGTGTCAGTCGGTGTTGCCGACCATATGGTTTGCGGAGGAGGTCTTCTGAGTTATATACATGTTTCATTGTTTGTTATATATAAGGTATATATTTAATTAAAATGTTTCGGATTTTATGTTGATCAAATATATAATATTTGTAGGATGTACCCGAGGAACGGGCAGATGGGTCCATTGTGGACTTGTTATAGGTTTTGTAAAAATAATAGGTTGAGCAAAATTTGGTTCAAATCAGGCATTCCATTCGCCTGATATTAGATTTATAAATATTAAAAATTTTGCCCCTTTGTGGGCGAGGTACCAGAAGGAGCGGACTGATGAGTCCCATATTCAAACTTGATCTAGATTTGGTTAGTGAATAGGTTGTGCAAAATTGTATTAAAATCGGACATTCTAATCGTCTGATATGGGATTTATAAATAAATAAAAAGGTTGACCATTTGTGGGGGTGGTACCAGAAGGACCAATGGGTCTCATCATCAAACTTGATATGAGCTTGGTAAAGGTAATAGGTTGTGCAAAGTTTGGTTCAAATGGGACATTCCATTGGCCTGATATTGGATTTATAAGTATTGGAAATGTTGACTCTCTGTGGGGGAGGTACCACAGGGAGCGGACCAATGGGTCCCATCTTCCTACTTGAACTAGGCATGGTAAAGATAATAGGTTGTACAAAGTTTCGTAAAAATCGGATAGTCCGTTTGCATGTTATATGTTTTTAGCACAATTTTGACCATTTTGTGGGGGAGATACCAAAAGGAGTGGTCCGATATTTTCCACCTTCGAACATAAACTAAGTTTGAAAGAAATATTAAGATGTGCAAAGTTTTGATGAAAACGATTATTCACTTCGACAGACGAAAACAAACGGACAATTGAAAACCGACTCCAAATTTTCTGAAACGGATTTGGTAAAAACTAACATGGGGTCTAAAACCAATATTTCTATGAGGCACATTTTCACCATATCAAAGTGTATACATTCTCATTAGCCGTAAGACTGAGTGTATACCTAGAACTTCAGGTTCTAGAATAAAATATATCGGCCTGATGTAGGACTAGCCCCCAGGGACGTACGCATTCCAAATATGTATTTCCGGAATAAAATCCTGTGTAAGTTGGTGGCCTCCTATAACTTTGCCGTCTAAATTGCAGTATTTTGAGGATCTTATACACATGTTCCAGCCTACCATTAAATTCCACGTTTGTGGGTGTTGAGGTTTAAAGGAGAAATTTCCATTACAAAATGCTGAAATTTGTACAATTGTCTGTTGGTACAGTTGTCAGTTTTGGTCCACTTTTTCCCTATAGTTTAATTTAAAGTAACTATCAGTATTCCTATGGTAGAGGGTATGAAGTTCGGCCCGCTTTTTTCACTTGTTTTCCTCAATAAATAAACTCTATTGTCCTGAAGACTAATTATAGTATACAACAAATTATTTGTTAAGTGTCACATGGTCATTCCCAACAAATTATGTTCCGTCAATTTTTTTCTCATCGTTGGTTAATCCCATGCCAACAATTTGATATGGTCCTCAAGGGAGCATTTATTTCTGTCTGGTGCTGCTGATTTCTCTCCACTGCTTTGGTTTATTGTTGTTAATCACCAGTTGCAGTCATTAATACATCTCAACCTTTTGTTACCAAATTAACAATAACTTCATTTCCCACAGGCTTTACTTAACACCTCTTACCATGTTCTTATGTAACTTTTTTCCTTGAAACAATCTCAGCTGGTCATTTTTAATGGCATATCATATCAGATTTAAGCGAAAACAAAAAATAAAACAAAATACAGTACAATAA